AAGTGAATATTTGTGTATCTTACTAAATTGTACAGTTCGTCGTTCACATTTCTTTATAAACAGAAACACTTTAACATTCACTTCAGATAAATTATTTTCACTTTCTTCATTGCAAGAGAAGTTAAAACCCGATAGAATTTAAAATTCTTCTAGTAGTTAATTTCTCCCATGGACGAATTTTAAATTCTATTGGGTTTTAATTTCTCTTGCAGATATAAGATCATGGAAAAAGAAAATCCCTTAAAACATTTAAATGATAATTGCAATAAAATCCTGCAAGGACAATTAATAGATGATCAATTAGTAAGTAATTCTACAGATGATTAGCTAGAATCTTCATGAACATGAACACGTTTTCTTTTAGCCGGATACCTATGATGATATACTTTACTCGCCCCCTAAACAGAGGTACGTTACGGTATACAGTCAACTGAAAATACTCAAATATGTGTTATTTTACTTCATATCACTAATTTATATTTTGTGTTTCTAGACCGATGATTTTACCAATTACAACAAGTGCAGTTCATCCATATCCAGAGCAATCGCTTGTTATGCATAACGTTGAAACCGGTAGTGAAGGTAATCTATAGATGAATCTCAATTCTCATATTAAACAGCTGGATCTTGATTATTATTATCATCTGGGATTAAACAGTGGATTAGATCTGAAATCAAATTTTGGTGATGTGAAATATGTTTTGATGTGTGGAAGTCCAGTTAGAGCCTATGAAATTATTCAACGCGTTATGCAAGCATTTAATATCCAGTTACCAATTGGACAAACATTAGCACCCATAGGTGACATATTTTAGAAAATCTAGACTAAATGTAAATAACTAGTTTTATTTTTTACACTTTTAGGTAAAACTGAACGTTACAGTATGTTCAAAATTGGCCCAATTATTTCAATTTCATATGGAATGGGTAAACCATCAGCGTCTATCATGTTACATGAAATAACAAAATTATTATCGGCTGCCGGTGTCTTAGATCCTGTTTACATTCAAGTTGGTACTAGTGGTGGTGTAGGAATTGAAGGTGGAACAGTTGTGATTTCAAACGCTCTTGTTAACGATCTGTTACAGCCATATCATTCAATAGCTGTGCTTGGGAAAATAATAGATCGACCAGCTAAAGTAGATTTGGATCTTTGCAAACAACTTTATGATGTTAGAGGAGAAATACCTGCGATTATGGGAATAACAATGTCAACAAATGACTTTTATGAAGTATGTATTTTTCTTGATTATCTTCTGTACTAAAATAACCTCATTATTTAGGGTCAAGCTCGTATCGATGGTGCCATATGCGATTATACAATGGAAGATAAATTAAAGTTTTTGAAATATGCTAATGATGCAGGTGTTCGAAATATCGAAATGGAAGCAGGTTGTTGTGCAGCATTTTGTACACGATTGAATATTCGATGTGCAATTGTGTGTGTGACTTATCTAAATCGTTTGCATGGAGATAGAATATCAGCTGCACCTCAACAACTGACACAATATGAGTCAAATGCAATTACTTTGGTTTTAAGATATATTGAGGAACAATTAGGATTGGAACCAAAATGTGCTATATAAGGTGGATTTAGTATTCCACATGCTCTTCATTCAAAATCATTGTATACACCAATTATTAGTAGTGCAACAGAACAAATACTAACCGAAGATGAACAAGTTGCTATATTTATTTGTAATGCTTTTTAATTTTTACTTATTTGTGCAGCAGGGAATTATTATGCGTTTTACTTATAGTTTCATAACTTCATTATTTTTGATTCATTTTTTATTCATAAATATTGCGGGGCAACGAATCTAGTAAAATTTTTATAGTTTAAAAAGAAATAGTTCCACAGATATGACTCATATAATCACTTGTCACCAGAATAAAGGAAAATTATGGTCACTTACTAGCCGGAAAAGAATTGAGAGCTAATAGAAGCAACTTAATAATGACAGAAAATATCGTCACATATCGTCACACTACGAGACTATACCCGGGTACGAGACACGAGACTGCGAGACTATACCCGGGTACGAGAGCGAGTATACGAGAACCCCGATCTCGCTCTCGGTCTCGTTACATACCTAAATCAGTAGTCCACTAATGTGTTGATTTTTTTGCATAATTAAAGTGCTCTGATCGAAATTTATTTCTAAATAAGTTCCCTATTTTAAATCGAGATCAATACTTGACTATTGTCTTCGACCGAGGCGAAGTATCGATTGTTGGACTCATACTTTTGGTATAGATATGCTAAAACTTGCAGAAAGAAACTGAACTACTCTTGAACTAGGAATTAAATAAGCTGTGTGAGAGAACAAAGGATATACCATCAACAATCTAAATGCGTATTGAGAACAATTGCATAAGTATAAAGGGTGGCACAGAAGTGAAACTTTTGAAACATCTGCTCTTTTTTTTGTTTTGCGTTAAAAAACTAAAATTTCACGTCTTTTTCCGTAGAATACAGAAGACGATGCTCAAGACAGATATTATTTTCATCACTTGTTTTAAGGTTAAATATTATAGTCTGGTTATTGTGAAGGTTCTCTCACATATGCACGCGAACTATTTCATTTCTGAGGGAAATTCCTTTTGAAAGTTGATTTTCAAAAAACTTCCCCAGTTCTTCGCCGATATTTTAGCGGTGTGAGTTATAATTTATAATTATAGTTTACCTGCCGAACCGGACCGGTTACACTTTTCGACCGATTTACTGTTTCTCAACCGGTTCCAGCTCTGAGCTACCGTTAAACGTTTAGTATTTTTACTTGTATCATTATTTTAACTTTATAACTTCAGAAATGCTTATACAAATAAACACATACATCTTGGTCCGTAGAATAATAACACGTACAAATGCTGTTTTTGTTTTAATGTCTTCGCACGTGTTACTAAGAGCGTTTTTGATTTTTTATGTCGATTTTCTCATCAATCTATTTTTATAAT